GACGACCCAGAAGCATGGCAAGCAGGCCAAATGCATGCACCGGACTAACAGGCGGGTTTTCAGCGGATGTGAGAACCGGTGACTCGTCAACGCCGAGGAGCTTGCACTCATGTGACAGAGCAGCGGTCATCTGTGATCAAGTCAAGAAGGATACAGAGGTAAGCTATCCGGGCCGACCACACTGGCGACGTCCAGCTGCAAATGGGGGGACGACGCTAACGTTGGGTTGAGAGCAGGAACAACCAACAAATGAACTAGAGGAAGACTGAACTGAGGACAACTGAATACCAAGTTGTCACTTCATTACATAACTTCGGAAAAGCGAAAAGGCTTCGACAGATATTCGCAACGGAAAGACAGAACGGTAGGCATGAAGTCGGCCAATATAGATCAATTTTTAAATCAGCGTGGATGGGCGTTCACCGATCGGCTGCAGGACTCACTCCTTGCTCTGCCTTGGGGTTCACTCTTGAGCCCTGTAAGCAGCCGCACAGCACCAGGACGGGACGAATAACCAATCGAACAGCGCCCCTCCACCAAATATATATATATATGCACCAGTTGTGTACTCTCATTAATAATCGGTGCGCGCTCGACTAACCTCCCATAGCATCGATGTAAGGTGTTTTATTTAGAAAAACGCAGGTTTGTTTGGTTTAACAGATTAAAAAAGGAACAATGTACTGTACAAATGTACAAGGGGGTTAACTGGCGCTTCCGGGCTGTACATGCAGCAGCAACAGCAGCAGCATTTTGTCTGTGACAGCCGGAGTACAGAAGGAACAAAGATTAAAGAAAAACACAAATGAGGAGGAGACGAGGGAGGCCGTGGAGGTGTTAAGTCAAAGAAGAATTGCAATACGCGGACGCCTGAACGGCTAATTTCGCAGATTAACGAACTTCTTTTTCAGCTTCAGGAGTGTAAATAGGTTGTCCACTTGCTGGTCCACGATAAACTTGGCGGCCGGGGTTGGTGATGACGGACCGACGAGTTGGTGGTGGTGGTGATGGCGGGCTCGTTCC